GCCAGGACCAGGTCCAACAGGGCATCTCCTCTGGTGGGACTGTGCACCTCCTGAATCAAGTGGAGGTCCTGCATCTCAGCCAGAAACCTCTTGGAGCGGTCCGTCCCGGCTGACTGCTCCTCCCAGCAGATGTCTGGGTAATTAAAATCGCCCATGACCACTACATCCCTTGATTTTAGTGCCTCTGCAAGCTGACCTGAAAATTCCCTGTCCAGCTCCTCCTCTTGGTTGGGGGGTCTGTAATAGACCCCCACTGTCAAATCCCTCTCCCCCTGCCCCCCCTGAATCTTGACCCAGAGCACCCAGGATGGTTTTTCACTCTTGAAATATACTGTATACCTAAGACAAGTAGTAATGAAATACATTTGTCTTGAACACATGCTGTATAAAGGTGGGAAATGGGACAAATGCTGGCTAAAGGTGTTGGTCAAGCTCCTATTTTTATGAGAAATACAATGCTGTCTTGGCCTTTTTAAATGGTATTTGAAAGAGCATATTATGGTCTAAATGTTAGCAACAGCTATAGATAAGGCTGCTGGAGCATTTCTGTATTAACCTCCAGTATTAGATACTATTAACATTCAAATCTCTTGGTTTTTCATGTTGTAAATTACCAACCCTGACCTCTGCCTCAGACTGACCATAATTAGAAAGTTTCATGACAGATGGTCCTGTTTGAGTATAGTGAGTGTATCAGCAGTGAAGGATGTAAGACAATTCTGTGACCTTCTTTCAAATGCTTCTAACCCTTAACAGCTGGGATAGAAAACTGAGCATTGGCAAGAAGGCAGGGTAGAAAACAGTCCAGGTACACTCAAAGAAAATGTTCCTGTAACAATAAAAAAATTACTTTTGAGCATATTATGACCTACTGAAAATTGCTCTTTGCCTGTGTGTGTAGTCAACTTTAACAATTAGCCAGCAAGGAAGGTTGGCTGCATCAAACATGCATGAATGGGGAACTTCAAAGGGCCACCTCAGAGTTAACTACAGTTCTGCATACAGTACTGAGTTAACAGGTAGGGAAGCTTGCACTTTACTACAGATTCTTGGTAGGTAGGTAAGTGCACAAGAGACTTTGCCTAGCTGAGGGCTCATATTACTTGGGGGGAGGGAAGGAGAGGAAAAGGCATTTTTCTTAAATTATGTTAGATAATGCAAGGTAAAAGCCTAGTAAACAATTTATAGCTTAAACATGATTTAGCAGGGTAAATTAAAGACTAGTTCCCTCCTATCGGCTTTTATTTGACTTGATAATCACTTTGCAATTATAAACTACCTTACAGTTTCTGAGATTCTTACCTCACACTGGTTAATTCAAGTTAAAAATACACCTTTTTTTCTTCTCGGTGAAGACTAAACAAAAGTCAGCTCAGCATGGAGGATTGAGCTTGCATCATTAAGACAATGAAAAAGACTTCAATAGGAACATCATCAGACCCTGCATGGTGCTACAGTAGTGCTGACTGGTCTGATACTGCAGTATGTTCTTCTTGGTGACCTGTGGTGGTGGTCGCTGCACCGTTCAAGCAAAAGTCCATTAATGGGGTGTCTGAATGTGGATTGTGTCTGACATAACATGCAGTTACTGTTGTACATTTGTGAGCCAAACGCTCTAAAGTCAGCTCATTTTTTGAGGGGGAAAATGTCAAATTCCTTTGGCAAAAGAAGGCCAATCAATTAATACATATGTTATCTTGTTTTCTGGGCAACAGTACTAGCCCAAGCAAATTTCAGCAATGGATGACCAGCCAGTAACAGAAATACCTCTTTCATCTTTGGCCTATCCTGAACGTCCTGAAAGTAATATTAAATATCTGCTAATATTTCTATAATATACTGCATTGTGCTAGTCAGTCTCTTTACTAGTTATACTTCCCAGTTTATTTTTCCCTAAAGATTGATGAAATGTACGTTAAACAGCAGCTGTAAACTGGCAAACTGTAATGTTTCTTACAAATGCTGCCTAAATGTCCTTTTATCCACTTCTGAAGGGCCAGAATTATTGATTTTTTTCGTTCTCCAAGACATTCCCCCTGCACTGTGCTAAACCTTGGCAGCCTTTTTAAAAGAATGCCAGACGAGCCAACTTGTAGCCTTAGCTACAAAGGATGAAGTCCTTTGACTGAGATGGAAGAGAGAAAAGAGAGAATTTAATGTCACGTCTCTCTCAGTAAGCGTCAGCTTGCGAGGACCTCATTCTTGAAAGAAAAAGCAAAAATGCAACAGACAGTAGTAGAACTTGGAACAATTTCTGTTTTTACTTTACACTGCTCAACCACATTTCTAGACTTCAGGGCTGAACCCCCCTGTGGTTAGAGTGCCCAGGGTTATGAAATGGCACTATAAAAACTAATCAGAATCACTCTGTACATGAATGGTTTAGATCAGTGGTAACCACCTTCTAATGACCCACCTCACATCATTACAGGGATGTGGGCACTAGGACCTACCTGTAGCCAATGCTTCTCCCTGTGGTGGCACAAAGAGAATGCTGACAGCCTGTATTTTGTCCCTGTGGCAATACAGGAAGAGTGCCCCCAGCTAAACCTCCCCACTACCAAACACTAGCAAAGCCAAATGTCCACAGGGCAGATGTGGCCCATGGACTGTAGGTTGCTGACCCCTGGTATAGACATTCCACTGCTGGCATGTTGTAAGTAGACAATCAAATTGCCATTCTGCTTACCTGGTTATCCTGAAGTTTGATTAGCATTTCCATTCTACTAGTAGGCAGATTTAGGAATCTAAAAGGAAGGTGCAGAAAATACCAGCAGCATAGCAGGAGTGCTTGCAGCCCACGTCTCCCCTTCCCTAGCAGATAGGAGCTAATGGGGACCTTTTGTCCAGGAAGCAGGTAAGACTTCCTCCCCCTGCTCTTGGTAGCCCATCGCCTCCAGTGCTTAGCAGCATCTCTCATCCCTTCCCATTCTCACCTGCAGCAGAGGTTGCACATTTCCCTTCCTCATCTGTTGTCTGCTTCATAAGAAAGGTTATGCAAACCACAGCAAGAAGTGTCTTGCCCATAGGGAAAGAAGAAATTTTAAAGTCAAAGTTGCTCTTCACAATAGAAGAGCGGTTATGGTTTGACATCAATCAAAAGATAGAATTGCCTTTGGAAAACTTAATGATATTCTCACATTACCCAGACTTCTCAGCTGACCAAATATGCAAACAGACGGAAAGAGCAAAGACTGCATATTGAGGGAAAGAAAATTCAGTTAAGTATTTTAATCAACTATTATTATACTGTGTAGTAAAGGAAACAAAGTAAAGAATATACTCACAGGTGTTACAGCTGAAGCATGTCAGTGAATATGTATTGGTCACAGCTGAATATGATAATGGCAGGCTTTTTATGTATGTTAAAGCCTGCCTCTTCTTTTCCCACCTTAAATTGATAATGTAGGAACCATGCAGTTGGAGGCAAGGCAGTGAAAATACCATAGGCAACACTAGAAGCAGATTGCTTAAACTCATTTGTCTGTTAAGAAGCTAGACAAGCATAACTGAGATGTAAGAATCTTAATCTCCCTAGATCAATAGATAATAAGCTTCCCCAGAGCTATCTAGGCATTCCATCATCTAGTCTCATTTAAATCTGCTTAATGCTTCTTTAGTTAGATTTGTTTCTCCCAGACAACTGGGATTGATAGATTTCACTGGGAAGTTTGAGAAAGGAAAACACAAAGTTGGATCTTGGAGGAGGAGAAAGCTGGTGACATGTAAAGCTCCATTTCCCACTAAATTATGCTTAAAGGAAGTAAGGAAGAATTTACCACTTAGGGGAACTTGTCAATTTATTCAGTCCCTCTTACATTTTCCATTTCATCCTGCAGTAAGTAAAACTAAACCACAATAATTTATCACTGGTTTAATTTATCACTGGGTAAATTATTGTGGTTTAGCTTCTACTTATTGTGTGATAGAACTGACAGGTGAGACAGTTGCATTGGATAAGGTGATGTGCATGATCCTGAATGGCATTCCTCCCTCCCACTTAAAAAGGTATAGTGATAGGCTGTAGATAGATGTAAGATGTAATGGTAGTGAGTACCTGGTGCCTGTTCCCAAATAAGAAAAGACCAGAGAAGTGCAAAGCTTAGGAGAGCTCAAGTAACAGTGCTGCAAGTTCATAGGTCATTTCAAGGCACATTTTTTATTTTTTTTCCCTGTTCTTTAACTTTCTTAAGTTGACCTTGCTGTGGCAGCAGCATCTTATTTGGTGCAAGCAGCTAGAGTGAAAGTTTCAAAATAATTGTTAAAGTCTTTGTAAAACTTGCAAATATATTCACTTAAAATGCAGAACTTTTTTGCTCCTGGGAAATATTTAAAGGCATGTTTACCTATTTTCCCACAGTGGGTACACAGATTTTTGCAGGCACAGGTGGGCAGCACTGAAAATAACTTGTAAGTATTACCGTGTGCAAGGTATGTATCGGTTTTCAGGCTGCAGAAAGCATGAAGTTTTTAGCTTTCATTCTGCTGCACAGCATTCCTATCATATCATCTGACCATTAAGAAAATGTTTTCAAGGACATTTTGACAGTGGCAAACAGTGCAGTTGTATATAAACCAAAACAGCTAGAGCACTAATACACTATTAAGAGTGGATACCATGTAGCTGTAAAAGTAAATTTTTGCTAAATGCTGCTGATTTATAATTACATATATCCAATTATTGTGTAAGTACTAGGATACTAATTCTGAAGATAGTCAGCTTCCATGAGTGAATTAAGGCTGAGGAAGATTGCATTTGTGGTTAATAGATGGAATTAGGACTCAGGAAGTAGGGATTCAATTCCCTTTTAAATGTGATATTGATAAAAAATTTCAGCTTCTTGACACCCGCTTTCCCTTCCCCAGCCCCTAAATGCTGAGAATGCGAAAACAGATCTGTAGAACTAAAGGACTGTCCAAATTTGCTGCACTCGTTGAGTGCTCCTCTGTTGTATAACAAGGAAAGGATTCAGATTGTCACACAGGCTATGTCACCTTAACCCCTGCCGTAACAATCCAATTTGAGAAAGTGAATGATTTCTCCACAATCCTGATAAATTAGAATGACAGACTAAGTACAGACTTCAAAAAGTATGAGGCAGAATCAGTATAAGCTATGCGGTTTCCTGTATGAGGTATAGGGTAGATTGGTAGCAAACAGAACACGTGTTCACCCTTTCGGGAGGGGGGAAATGCACAGGCTGCTTACACCAGCCAAAGCCAGCAGGTTTGGGGCACTCTTGCATGCCTCCCTGCAGGATCCCCAGGCTGCCAGAGACTGCTGAGCACATCTGAGCAGCCAGGCCACCCTTGACTGGCTGCCGGGCACAGGCGAGCATTCCCCTCTCCCTCTGACATGTTGTCTGTCAGCCACAGGCATCTGTCAGCTGCAAGCAGGCAGTGCAGGGGGGAAGGGAGGCAGCTGTGTCCCTGCACAAACCCATCACAAAGCACCCCACAATGTACACACAGACTTGACACTGATTTCAGGAGAACCTCTGCAAGTGGGTGCAGCACTGCAGAGCCCAACTGGGCTGCTGGCCTCCAGTGAGTCTTCCCGCCCCAAGCTTCCTGCCTGCACCTGACAGGTGCCTGTGGCTAACAGATGACATGAAAGGGGGAAGTGGGAATGCTCACCCACGCCCAAGCAGCCTGGTTTAGCTCTTTGAGGCTGTGCTCACTCGCAGGGGTTCTCCTGGGGTCAGTGTCAGGTCTGTGTGTATGGTGTGGGGTGCTTCTTAATGGGATTCGTGCAGGGATATAGATGGCACTTTCCCCCGCCCCCCACCTATACTGCCTGCCTGAAACTCACAGCTCGCCAGAGGGAGGAAGTGGGTTTGCAGAAAGGATCTGACCTGACTCAGCTCTGTGACAGCTTAGGAGCGGGGCCCACTGAGCGCTCAGTCAGAGCAGATGAAAGCAGGGTGCTAGCTAGTGTTCCTCCCTGCATGGGGTGGGGATAGTGAGGGACTGCAAAGGAGCTCGGGATGTTGGCAGACAGCGACCTAGCTTGAATCAGTAGGGGACTCAGTACTGAAGCTCAATGCACCTGTCTAACCTAAATCAATTAAGTTTGAGTGCACATTGATCCAGGCCTATCTTAGACTGGGTTCCACCAGTTTTATATCAGTCTCTGTGCACCAAACTTCTGTCCTATTATGGATTTAGACCAATTTCTGATCACTTGGGCTGCTTGCAAACATTAAAAAAGTGCTTTTGGAAGAAGCAGCATGTTACTTCAGGCACCTCAGCAGGGCTTCTTGGCACTTTTATTTAAAACTGATTCAATCAACTATTAGATAAACATGCCAAAAAAAGACCCACTAAAGTGCCCAATCTATACAGACATTGGCCTTGCCAGGTCTAGCTAAGGCATTGCCTTTTCTGGGCATGCTCAGGGCTCCACAGGGGAATGCACCAAGTTTATAGTAAAGGATGTTTTGGGGGTTTTTAACATCTGCAAGCAGCCTTCAATTGGTAAAAGTGTCATGTCTGAACCTGAACAGCCTTCCTTGTTCTCTTTCCTAACAATTGACCAAACAGTCAGCCTTAATTACAAAGGATGTTATTATGGTTTGGGTTCAGGAAGATTCTTTGTGGAAACAGGTTTCCTAAAAAGAGAATTGTGCAAGCAGAAAGAGGATTTGCAGCAGCCTTTACCTCTAGCTGGAGCCTATTTCTGAGGCCACATTGATGTTTAGGAAGCAGTTCCTTGGCTAAGACTCCTAAAAGAGGGGAATACCTTGGATGCTGTTTAAGCACCTCTGTTCCAGTGCTGGTGTAAATAAAATAAGTAACACCTAAAGTTTACCATCACAGACTTCTCTTATGCTGATAAGCTGATATATGCAGCAGTAACATACATGGGAGCTAAATTGTGTTAAGGTGTAAGTGTTGATAATGTGACACATGGTGGTTTTCCAGAATTAATCCTGAAAGTGAAGTTCCCTATTTTGTAACTCTAAATTTGGTAAATAGGTTTAATAAAGACCACCTCAGAGCCATGTTGTAAAAGTAAAATCATAGATTCAAATATTTTGATTGTAAACCACATAAGGCAACTTTGCTAAATAAGAAATTCTTGCCTTTCTATTGGAATGGGAGCAAAAAGAACCAAGTAATAATGGAGGTGAATTATCTCTTCAATCAGCAAAACCACTTAATGAAGCCATTAGAAGCTTTTATCAGGCAGCTTTTGTTATACCATATGCCAGGGGCAGGAAAAATGGTGGACCCCATTTCCCACTAGCCCCTGCCCACCTGGAGCATGCAGGCTGCAAATTGTGGCTCTGCCCTGGCCATGACCAAAATGCCCCTGCTGCAAGATCCCAGCAGCTCCAGAGCAGCCCCCTGTCCTGCCCTGCTGTGTGCCTACCAGTGCAGCTGGGGCCAATCTCCACGGCAACCCCAGCCTTGTGCTATCACAGCACAGTTGTGCCTGGGGTCTCCATGTAGGGGCTGCTGTGAAATGGAGTCTACTTCCAGCAGTATCAAACCTGCAGGCCAGACTTTGCCCGCCCCTGCCATATCCCAATTTCCTTACCTGATGTGTGTATTTTGATATCTGAACTAGTTATTTGGATTTAAAAAAAGACAGTACATCTACCCTAGCTAAGTATCACCTAGAGAAATCCTAGCACATGCTTATGCATTGATAGATATAAAGTGAATGAGTGGGGTCAGAGTCCAGGCAGCTTATCTGAGAGGTAGGGGGACAGGGACTGGGGGGTGGGGTGGGGGAGGTAGATCCTGGGGTGCCCTTTACTTACAAAAAGTGGAAAAAGTTGGAGACCACTGTAGTAGTGTATACATGCAAATCATCATCACCAGTTCTGTTCAACAGGAGGGTTTTTTGTT